GATCGTGAGCTGTTGGGGTTTGATCCATTCGCTTCCCACAAGATCATTCCCTGCAAATCCGCTCGCAGCCAGTTTTGGCCGTGGCTTCCCCGCAGCAGCCCTCAGAGGGCTGCGCCCCGTCCCGAGGAGCTCCCGGGGCTGCCTGGGAGCTGCGGGGACGAAGCTGGAGCCCTTGGTCACTGGCAGCAACCACGTTCCTCCGAACCGCCCTGGGCTGTCCCCTTTGGGCTCCATGTTGTTGGCAAGGGCTGGCCTGGGGCCGGTGAAATTGTCCAGGAGGATGCTCCGGCACTGACCAACCTACCGGGACTGGAAGATTCCTGTGGCACCCGTGTCCTGTGCAGAGCTGCTGGGGCTGCTCCAGCACACCCGGGATGGACAGTGGTGCCCAGTACCCGGTGCTGCCCTCACAGGGCTCACGGCATGATCACAGAGTTCCATCAGTAACATTGGGGCACGACAGGACCATCACTCATCCTGAGCCTGCAGGACGATGCTCTTACCCCAGAGATCCCCAGGACAGCTTTCTGGACAGCATCCTGCTCCTGCGCAGGCTGCTTATCTCACCACAAAGCCAGGAGCCTCCTGGACTTGAGCCAAGGGCTCAGTTTGGGACCCTTCACTGGAGGCACCGGGCTCCAGAAAGAACCTCCTTACTATTTTCAAAATGCCTTTGCATCCACAGATGACCTTAAATTACCTTAAAAATGACAGAGATGCTTCAGCACCACGCTGTAGAGCTATGCCTGCATCCCCTCGGTGTCATGGCAGGTGCCAGAGCCATCCCATTGCTGGAGTGGGATGTGCAGACCAGGAGCTGGAGATGAAGGGGGCAGGAAAAGTCTGTGGAGCTGGGGTGGAGGGAACCAGGGCGGGCGGGGGGTGAATGTCCCTCAGAGCAGTTGGGCCTCCAGGGTACAGACTGACTGGGGGAACACCGATAGTGTCCCCTTCCGTGGTCACGGGACTGACCAGCCCATCTCCCCCAGAGCCACTACGTGGCCTGCATGGCTGCCATCCTGAGCCAGATGGACAAGGACCACTACAGTGCCTACATCCAGGCATTCCCCTCCCGGCCGGAGCTGATGGTGAGTGCTGCCCCTTGGCAACACCAGCACCTCCCTCACAGCACCTCCCTGTCTTCCCAAGAGGGCATCATGATCCAGCCCAGCTCCTGACATCTCCTCCTCCCTGGTAGGACTTCCTCATGGAGACCTTCATTCTCTTCAAGGACCTGATTGGGAAGACAGTGTATCCCTGCGACTGGGTGGTGATGAACATGGTGCAGAACCGGTGAGGACCTGGGCTGGGAGGGACCCGTAGGCAGGCACTGGGGCTGGGGGTGAGACCCTGGGGTTCCTCGTGGGGCACGGGGCAGGCAGACGCTGGAGCACAGCTCCAGGCACGCAGGACTGGTGCACCCAGGCGGCGTCAGGCTGTGCTGCAGTGGGCACAAAGGCCCCTGCCCTGCCCCCACTGCGGGACAGCGGTGGGCACGTGCATGGTGGGCACACTGGGTTGGGCAGTGGGCACACTGGTGCTGCCCTTGCTCAGTGCCTGTGGCCACTTGGTCCCAGGGAGTTCCTGCGCACCATCAACCACTTTGCCACGACCTTGACCAAGATGTTCCTGAGCAACAGCAGCTTCGAGCTGCAGGTGAGTGGGCACTGCCAGTTCCTGGTGGGGACTGGGGGTCCAGGAGAGGACACACCCTGGCCCCCAGCCCCCCATTTCACTCAGCCTGACATTCATCCCTGTGCTTTTACTGCAGCTTTGGAACAACTATTTCCACCTGGCCGTGGCCTTCCTCACTCAGGAGTCCCTGCAGCTGGAGAACTTCTCCCCAGCCAAGCGCAACAGCATCCTGGCCAAGTGAGTCCACTCCAGCCGATTGGCAACACCTCGGGTCCCTGCCCCAGGCTGCCACCATGCCACAGGGTCAGGGATTTTGGGGCGAGCTGGCCAGGGTGTGCCACGCCCTGGGCTGCAGAGCGATGCTGCCTGACCACCATCCCGGCAGGTACGGGGACATGAGAGCCACGATCGGAGCGTCCATCCGGGACATGTGGTACAGCCTCGGTGAGCCAGGGTGTGCAGGGGGGTTGCTGGGTCTCCATGGGCTGGTGTCCATCTGTACCATCATCAGACTGGCTGTGGGGAGTGGGGTGTTGCCAGTGTGGCCATGGGAGCCTGCATGGGTGCAGATCTGTCCCCCAGCCCTTCCTGCCGTCCCCAGGCCATCGCAAGATTGAGTTCATCCCGGGCATGGTGGGCCCTATCCTGGAGATGACGCTGGTGCCAGAGCTGGAGCTGCGCAGGTCCACCATCCCCATCTTCTTCGACATGATGCTCTGCGAGCACCAGCTGACTGGGAGCTTCAGCCGGGTGAGGGACAGGGCTGCTCCTGGGGAGCAGGATGGGGTTGGATGGTGCAGGAACCACCTGCACTGGGGGAGTAGCATGGCCTGGGAGTGGGGACAGGGACCTGTCTCTGCCAGGTGGTCCCTGGGGAGGGGCTGCTCTGAGGCCCCGTGTCTGGGGGCTACTACTGCAGCAGCCAGGGCCAAGCTGAGCCCATCCTCA